CATACCATATTGTACATGTAATTCAAATACCGTATCGTGTGTGTAATTCAGATACCATATCGTACGTGTAATTCACATACCATTTTCTTCGTGTAATTCACATACCATATTGTTCGTGTAATTCACATACCACATCGTACGTGTAATTCAGATACCATATTGTTCGTGTAATTCAAATACAATATCGTACGTGTAATTCACATACCATATCGTACGTGTAATTCAGATACCATATCGTACATGTAATTCAGATACCATATCGTACGTGTAATTCAGATACCATATAGTTCGTGTAATTCACATACCATATTGTACATGTAATTCAGATACCATATCGTGCGTGTAATTCAGATACCATATCGTACATGTAATTCAGATACCATATCGTACGTGTAATTCAGATACCATATTGTTCGTGTAATTCACATACCATATCGTACGTGTAATTCACATACCATTCTGTTCGTGTAATTCACATACCATATTGTTCGTGTAATTCACATACCACATCGTACGTGTAATTCAGATACCATATTGTTCGTGTAATTCAAATACAATACCGTACGTGTAATTCACATACCATTTTGTTCGTGTAATTCACATACCATTTTGTTCGTGTAATTCAAATACAATATCGTACGTGTAATTCAAATACAATATCGTGCGTGTAATTCAGATACCATATCGTACGTGTAATTCAGATACCATATTGTTCGTGTAATTCACATACCATATTGTACGTGTAATTTACATACCATTTTGTTCGTGTAATTCACATACCATATCGTACGTGTAATTCACATACTAGTACCATTTTGTTCGTGTAATTCACATACCATTTTGTTCGTGTAATTCACATACAATATCGTACGTGTAATTCAAATACAACATCGTACGTGTAACTCAAATACCATATCGTACGTGTAATTCACATACAATATCGTACATGTAATTCACATACCATATTGTTCGTGTAATTCAAATACCACATCGTACGTGTAATTCAAACACCATATCGTACGTGTAATTCACATACAATATCGTACGTGTAATTCAAATACCACATCGTACGTGTAATTCAAATAACATATTGTTCGTGTAATTCACATACCACATCGTACGTGTAATTCAAATACCATATCGTATGTGTAATTCACATACAATACCGTACGTGTAATTCACATACCATTTTGTTCGTGTAATTCAAATACCATATCGTACGTGTAATTCACATACAATATCGTACGTGTAATTCAAATACCACATTGTACGTGTAATTCAGATACCATATCGTGCGTGTAATTCAGATACCATATTGTACATGTAATTCAGATACCATATCGTACGTGTAATTCAGATACCATATTGTACGTGTAATTCACATACCATATTGTACGTGTAATTCAAATACAATATTGTACGTGTAATTCACATACCATATTGTACGTGTAATTCAAATACCACATCGTACGTGTAATTCACATACCATATTGTACGTGTAATTCACATACCATATCGTAAGTGTAATTCACATACCATATCGTAAGTGTAATTCAAATACCACATCGTACGTGTAATTCAGATATCATATTGTACGTGTAATTCAAATACAATATCGTACGTGTAATTCACATACCATATTGTACATGTAATTCAAATACAGTATCGTACGTGTAATTCAAATACCACATCGTACGTGTAATTCACATACCATATTGTACGTGTAATTCACATACCATATTGTACGTGTAACTCACACACCATATTGTTCGTGTAATTCAAATACCATATCGTACGTGTAATTCACATACCATTTTGTTCGTGTAATTCACATACCATATTGTTCGTGTAATTGAAATACAATATCAGTACATGTAATTCAAATACCACATCGTACGTGTAATTCACATACCATATTGTTCGTGTAATTCACATACCATTTTGTTCGTGTAATTCACATACCATTTTGTTCGTGTAATTCAAATACCATTTTGTTTGTGTAATTCAAATACCACATCGTACGTGTAATTCACATACCATATCGTACGTGTAATTCACATACCATATTGTTCGTGTAATTCACATACCATATCGTACGCGTAATTCACATACCATATTGTTCGTGTAATTCAAATACAATATCGTACGTGTAATTCACATACCATATTGTACGTGTAATTCAAATACCATATTGTTCGTGTAATTCAAATACCATTTTGTTCGTGTAATTCAAATACCACATCGTACGTGTAATTCACATATCATATCGTACGTGTAATTCACATACCATATTGTTCGTGTAATTCACATACCATATTGTACGTGTAATTCACATACCATTTTGTTCGTGTAATTCACATACCATATTGTTCGTGTAATTGAAATACAATATCGTACATGTAATTCAAATACCACATCGTACGTGTAATTCACATACCA